CACACCCCATCACAAGCCAGCAAAACACCCACGAAACAAAGAAAGGTCTGTCACAGGCAAAAAATACACTCCAGACACGCCGCTGGCACTAGAGGCACATATATATATTGCTTTTGTTTCCTTTTTTTAATACAAAGTATTTAATTGGTGTAAACCACCACCTCGGAGCACCTCACATTGCCCCACGCAGGTGTGTCACAGTGCAATGCTCATGTCAATCTCTTAGTTCTAATTCACTTTTCAAATTGAATAAAGTTCAATAAACTTAAAATAAGTTAAATTTCCATAAACACATTCGTCTTGTCCTCTCACACCTTCTCAAAAAGTAAGTACATAATTTCACTGTACCCCCTGGATGATGAATAACTCAGATCAGAACTTAAAACTTAAAACTTAAAAGTTAGAAGTCGAAAGTTGTGAAACTTCACCCACAAATGCACAATGATTCTTTATGTTACAAAGCCCCCATCGTCCCTTTCCCTTACTAGCAGAAATTTCTGGAAAACGCGAGTGAGAGAAGTCGCAAATTTGAAGCAATGTTCTAGACGAAGAGCAACTCATGAAGATAGAAAGAGGGATTACCTGACACCTAGTCTGTCAAATGCTATTCACAATTTCACAGGATTCCGCCAGTCCCAATGTTTCCCAAGGCTCAAAAATACAAACTTGTGTTTCCGCCTCCCGAAAATCAAATGGCGAAGACGATATTGATATTCACCACCACAGCTTCAACACATATTCATCGTCTCTCCTTTTCCTTTCTTCCTCCGGCTCCAAATCTTCCCCAAGATCCTTGCAGCAATGTCTCATTCATTTACGAGCTTGAGGTCGTTGCTCCCGGACCCACCACCTTCACCTCGATGGTAGTTCTCCAAATCCCCTCGCGCGTCATCTCGTGAAATAAGATCATCTACGTCCAATAGATTAGTATCGACCTCCACATCTACAGAGGAGAAAATGTCTTCTTCATCATCATCAGTCAGCTGTCGTGGTGACCCATTTGTACTTGAATGCACATTGTAACTTCCATCATCTTTGGCATCCTCCTTGGCGTAGAGATGCAACGGCCTCTCCATTTCTTGCATGGCCCACATGTGCGTGTACCTGCCGTTCCGTGCAATCAACTCGCTGTGTGACCCCTCCTCTACCACCTGACCCATCTCCATAACCTGAGCCGGAAACAAGAACAAGAACAGGGACAGAAAGAGTCCTAAGTCAAACATTAAAAGTGAAAAAAAAAAAAAAAAAAGTGACACGAAATGAGATGAACAGCAGGTGCGGCTCCCCACCAATAGAATGGAGCGTCCGGAACGCGCACTAGGGGAGGTTGTTCGTATCACCCCCCCCTAGTACCGTTGTCCTGGCTTTTCAAAAAAAAGAAAAGAAAAGAAAAAAAAAAGAGATGAACAGTAAAACCTTAAAAGAAGAAACTCAGCCGACGGTCCCACCCCATCCTTGACCACCATGGTTGTTGGGGCAGGGGGCAACATGCATCCCCTCTGATGGCTGGGGGGAGACAACAAAGCTATGTTCACAGGGGTCCCCTGTATAAGCCTTAGGAGTAGGGGTAGGTAGGTAGTGAAGGTGAATTGAAAGAATTTTAAAGATGATGAAAGATTTGAGAGAAGAATTATATAGCGTAGTGTAACTAGTGTTAAAAAAAAAAAAAAAAAAAAAAAAGCAGTAATGAATATAAAAAAAAAAAAAAAAAAAAAACTTATACAAGGCTTTTTTTTTTTTTTTTTTTTTAAGCATATTTACCTCATAATTATCTCCCAAATAAAATTTAATAAAAAACTGAAAGCTCCCCAAAATTAGATTGTCATTGTCTACCAACCCAGGCTGAACCATCAATGCGGGTTGTTTGGCTTGACAAGTCCCGGGCAACCCGCCCGGCAAATCCAGACCGGTCAGAAACTGAACCTCCAGGTGGGCGGATGGACCCGATACTGGCGTGGATGGGTTTCACATGTTGGTGCTGAACGTTCCACATTCGTAAGCGCTCTTGGTCGCTGCCATTTTCCGCACACCCCTTGAGTACATCATAAATAAATACATTCAGGTCCTCCCTACCCTCTTTCCCTGACGTTGCAGAAGCAGTCATTTAATGACATGCACTTTCTGACGAAAGTGTTCGTCTATCGTTCATGCCTCATGTGTCCAAGTTTTGTCTGATCATGCATCAAATGCCGGTGCCCATCTATTGTTCACACCTCACGAATCCGCGTTCCATGTGGACATGCATTCCTTCACCACAAACCGGACTACATTCAAACATGGATATGACAGGAACATGGACATCCAAAGGAACCTGTACATATACGACAACAAGAAAAAATCAAACCAAAAGAAAAGCAGGGCAAACATTTTAGCACCTGTACCGATACGACCACGACACTTCGAGATGACTGGAGGGTGCGCTATATCCATAGGCATCGACTACCGTCTTCACCCGAATACAACGTACGGGCATTATAGCTGTATTTGGGGCAACTTCGAGTCTAGATGCAGCAATAATGACTGTACGTTGTGTTCTGGTGAAGACGGTAGCAAGAACAGGAGCTGGAGAACTTGGACCAGAAAAGAAACATGGAAAGTAAGAGTACCTCCAGGACAATCAGGGAAGACAATGGAAAACGGTAGGCGAACTGATGACTCAGCTAAAGGGATGTCAATAGTTGGAAAAGAATCGGGAAGATGTTAAAGACAGCATAGGCTTATTAGGGAAGGGCATCAAATGGAAAGAGAGGAACTATGCAACAGATAGGACTCGAAAAACTTCCTCAGCCGCCCTTTTTATGGATCACACACTCGTACAGCCATACCCGTTCACGAACCCGTTCAACTGTGTCTCGTAGACATGGTTGGGGGTTGTCCAAGGGTTGGTCCTTCCCAGTGACCCCCTTTCACGACAGGCAGTGGTCCCCATCTTGAGTTCGTCAATTTGGGTGTCTCCAACCACGCGGTTGGATAAATAAAATAAGTCGTGTCCATCTCGCTGTGGACTACTGCAGCTTCTCCTTCGTTATCGCGCCTGAGAGAACAAACAGGGCAAAGGAGCAATTCATTTGGTAGTGTCGCGGTCACCCATAAAATTAAGAAAGCCCCATCATTAAGGCGAATAAAGCAGCTTCAGTTAAAGCAAAACCTAAAATGGGTAGGGGTCAGAGGTGAGTCTCTGCCCTCCGAACCGTACGTGACAGTTTCCCGTCATACTGCTCTCCATCAGCGTTCCGTCTTGAACGCATAACACTCCCAGACAGGCCAACACTGCGTGCCTCCTGGTGTTTCTGCCGGGCCAGCGGCACGGGTTGCGTGCCCCCACCCCCCCGTGATCACCAAATGAAATTAAATAGGCCGCCACGGATATGAAATTTGTGAGTTGATGGACAAAGATAACGGTAGAAAGTGTAGAAACCAAGCTGGAAAGCCTAATAACGCTGAAGTTTTGGGCCGACTGGCAAAGGAAAGTAAGGACCCTCTGACAGGAGCAGAAACAAGTGCACACTTCATGTAGAAAAAGTAGCACAATATGTGAGGCTTTACTCTCGCGGAGGACACACTGTGCAAGTAGAAAATTGCAGTCCCCAGTCAGAAGCAAGTGGCTGGGAGAGACGAACAATATACATACGAGATAAGGATGTGCGAGAACTCCAGGTGGATCCTCCAGAATGGGAACGGTTCCTTAAAGCACCAGTACATGGGCACCTTGAATTCTGGAAGCGCGAAACGAAAACGCGACCGCCCATCCAATTTATCAATGGCAGGCCCAGCGTTTGACGTTTCCGCCTTCCTTGTGGCGAAAAGTTTCGAACTGCAAGGCTGGGGCCGTGTACTAGCGGTTTAAGCTCAGTAAGGGCACTGCAATAACCTTCTCTCCACAAATGGTACGCCTGTACCATTATCAACCCAAGGAAGGTTTTGTTTTTGAAACTCCTGGAAAGGTTATAAACCATACTTGCAACCGCACGAGCCGCACATTCGTGCGGAGTTCCGTACGGAGTTCCGTGCGGGGGTTGCCTGTGCAGAATCGTGCAGGTTTTTTATTTTTATTATTAGTATTTTATCTTTTTTTGGGAGGAGGAACGGGGGGGCGTATGACAGGAGATGTGGATATGGCAAGGAGAGGGGGATATGGAGAGGAGGAGGAGGATGTGGACAAGGAGGACAAGGAGGAGGCGGAGTCGAGATGGAGGAGAAGAGATGGACGGAGGGAAAAGAAGGAGGGGCAGGAGGAGGACGAGTCGGAGGAGGAGGAGACATGGACGGCGAGGAAGGGCAGGACACGAGAAAGGGGAGGACACGAGGAAGGGAAGGAGACGAGGAGGCATGGAAAATGAGGAAGTACGAGGAGGAGGAGGAGACAACGAGGATGAGGAAGGGCAGGAGGAGGACGACAAACAGGAGGAGGAGGAGGAGGAGGAGGAGGAGGAGGAGACGAAAAGGAGAAGGGAGGAGGAGACATGGAGGATGAGGAAGGGGAAGAGGAGCAAGGTGAGGCAGTACTCCTGTAATTTTTTTTTCATCTCGCTTATAATTTTGGCGGGGGCCCTCAAATGCACCGTTTCGACCCCAGCCTTTTTTTTCTTCTGAGGGGGGTGTCCGGTCGTTCTCCGCACACTCGTGCGCCGCACGGGATCGGTTGGGCGTGTGCGCCGCACGTAGGGAACCGCCCGCACGACGTGCGCTTGCATGCATGTTATAAACCAATCTTCCGTAGGAAGCAGTAGTAAATAAGATGGGTCAAGCACTCAGGGATAGACCCAGAATGGATGAGCACAATTCCATGGGGTTTCCACAGTAGCATTAGAACAAAGAGAATTAGGACCCTACAATGGCTCATCATATATTTATTATTTATGCCATAGCAGTAACGAATGCCCTGAAAAAATGGACAGAGAACGAGCAGAAAAATAAAGAAACGCCATAAATGCAAGAGGAGGTGCTTGCGGGGGTAACAGAAAAATTAAACGCATTGCCTAATCAATTGTCCTCAAGTTAACTTCCTTGCCTAGCTCAGTTGGTAGTAAACTTGGTACACCCCCACAGACTGTTGAAATGCAGACCTGAGTTCGAATTCCAATGGAATCAGACGAGTCAAGAGAATTCTGATTTACCTGGGGCTGGCCAGTTCAAAGACGATATCACAAGGCTGTTGCACTATCAAAAGGAACGAGAAAAAGAAAAAAGTCCTCAAGTTAAGAAGATGAGGGAAGAAACCGCTAATCCATGGTTAGGGGCTGTTAGCTGAATCACCATTCCCGACACTCCGTTTTCCTCCTCAGAGCAGTCGGCAGGGAAGTAGGGCAAAGATTGGGGCCTCGACGACCTCTTTTAAAGAGTGGTAATTTGGTTTATATGGACAGCAAGGTGCAAGGAAACAATAGCAAAAGTGAAATAACAAAATTGAAATAGCAAAACTGAAAGCCGCGGCAGAGGAATCCTGGAGTGAGGTAAGGGCAATTGTGAAGGCTGGCTTGAGGGCAGAATGGAGGAAAGCAACAGCGCAAATGGACAGAGAATTTGACCACAGAAAAGAAGAAAGATACGGAGGGACTCCCAAGACGTTTGACTTGGACAAAACTGCATAGGTCAGATAAGGGGAAGATTGTTACAATTCCAATAACTGGCTGCTGTCTCAGCGGGCACTTCCAGGATGCCTCCAGGCTCCAAGTGTTCACCGTGTTTGCATTGGTCCGCGGGGCACTTGTGAGCCCATGTGACGGCAATGCTGCATTCTCATTGGCCCTCGGCCACTTCGTGATGTGTCGGCCTCGCACTGTGTGTGACAAGGGCGCAACCACCTACGTCCTGGGCTCAACTGTTTGATGCAGCTGCTGCTTCTGGAAAGAGCCCAGGGAGAGGCCCAGGTTGCACTTCAACCAACTGGCGTGCAGCAACTGTCTGATACCCACATTGGAAAATGCTGAGATAAGGGCCTCTCGTGGATATTCAGGCCCCCTTCACTTAGGGCGGGCACGAGGCTTGCTGGGGGCCACACTCCAGAACATGTGCATGTTGGTTAGGGCCCCTTGAGGACACATTCCTTACACTCTTAATTGTGAGCCTGAGTGGGCTCCGCACACAATTCACCCCACTCCTACCAAGCTCAGTGATTCTACTGGGCCCTCAAAGTGGGCACTACCGTAGTACAAAGGAGGCTCCACTGTCCCATTGTGTCGAAATCCTCTATGAATACACAAGTTGGCACCTCAGCCTTAAGCCGCCAGTACACGACCCCCGCCTTGCTGAAAACGTTTCGTCACCTACTCCAAAAATTTTGCACCACGGGCCTGCTGGACCACAATGGCTGGCAGCGGCAACCAGAAAAGAAAAAGAAGTGCGCCACGGCGGTTTGGCAAAGCTGAGTGCACAGTGGAGCGCCTACAGGCCTGCGTGTACTGGCGGTTTAAGGTGTAATCCTTAATTACACAAGTGGACCCCGCCACGGCTACGCCGTGGCCCACAGCAACACTCGCCGATGGCGTCTCATTTTTCTTTCATGTCTCTCTCTCTCTCTCTCTCTCTCTCTCTCTCTCTCTCTCTCTCTCTCTCTCTCTCTCTCTCTCT